ATAATAGGCTTGTTTCAACGATTTCAACTTAAGTCTCTCTTTGAAAATCCGGCAGCCAAAAATTAAAATTGCAATGGTTTAGGTACCGTTTAAATAACTTTTTTAAATGGGACTTAATATGGTTGTTGAGGGTGGTATTTAATGGAAAGTCAGCAAGAACGAAGATATGAACCATTAACCGTAGTGGTTTTACCGGATACCTGACATAGCTAATGCTGCGTACACAGTTATCCGGTACCGGTACGTCTTGCTTCCGGTGAAAATCAAAATTACTCTATTTCTTTCAATGTTGAAGCCTTAACGCACCTACTACTCTAAAGGCTTTTCGAAAATATAATAATATACAATGTCTTTCATTTATTAAAAGAAATGAAACTTTGGGTCACCGCAACTTACTGGACCATGGAAATCTTTTTTGCAACGTAGTACTGATATTTCTCTACAACTTTTATACATAATTGTTTTTATTTACTTAAATAGCGTAGGAAGTATGGAGACTACCGGATCTTAGTAGTTCACCCTGTATATTCACCAGTGTGTGACTCTGTATTTTAGCTGTCATGCCAAAAAATGTATATCCTTGTTTTACACCTCACGCAACGACTCATTAACATACAATGTAAATACACCTTAAAGATTATTTTTCGCAGTAAACAGGGACGCAAGCAAGATCGATGCAATAAGATTATAATTCATTCGAATGAGAGCAGTGCGGCGCGGCGCACCAACGCCGAGCGCTAGCTATAGGTAATTTGGAATGACATGAATCTTGAAATATTCGACGGTTGGGCTTTATCGCATTCATATTGTACAATACATTGACAGTAGGTTTACTCTCTTGATTTGACAAAAACACCTATTGACATTTCATCACTTCATTACCGAGCATCTCGGTAGTTGGTAAAGGTTTAGATGATGGGTGGGGGGATCAAAAGAGGAGGTCTCCTCCACCACTGTACCATAAACAGTTTGCGGCGGTCTCACTCCCATAAAAAGTTATGGGGGTTGAAAGTTAATTATTTTGACAATTTTCATACACTATAATTCAAATAAAATTCAATAAAATAATTATTTTCAAGCGGGTGGAGTGGGGGATCGAAAGAGGGTGGTCACTTGAACAAAACCCGATAACCTAACCTAACCTACCTCTATTGATAAAGACTATTTAAATAATGTTTTATATAACTTTCTCAATATTTTTATATATTTTTCATTAGTTTTAGCTTTGAATATTGTTTAAGAATGACTATATAAATATTTACATGCCTAGAAATGTATAAAAATTGGCATATTTATTAACTTTTTATGGGGGTGAGACCGCCACGAACTGTTTATGGTACAGTGGTGGAGGAAACCTTCTCTTTAGATCCCCCCACCATTTGGGGGTGGGGGCCATCATCTAGACCTTACCCAGGGGTTGTTTTGTACAGGGTCATCGTAAAGTCACACTACAAATAACCAGTTTCTCTACAGTTTGGCAAAATTATTGAAACATTCTCGTATATAGCCATTTAGCGTATATATATTTAGTTGATTTAAAACCGTCTGCAAAAAATGCCGGCGTTTTAGGTAAGATAAAAGGAATGGCCCTACTGTATAGAGTAGATTTATACTGTGCCATGACTATAATGCTATTTTTTTCTAGCCAGGAGCCCTGCGATACAATCGGAGTTGGAGTTGCTTTTAAGAAATAAACGGAATTGTATCGCTACGCAATCCAAGGTCAAAGCCCATGTCATTCTAAATTACCTCTACGACGGACAAAACGAAACGGGTTCGATTTAAAAACATTGACGTTGCTGTTTTTTCAATTTTGAAACAACACAAAGAGAAAACGGACACTTCTACGTGACTGTTGGCACGCAAAATTTTAACCGCAGTTCACTATATATCATGTTTATTTTATAGTACTTATCAATATTCATTAATCAGTACGATTGCGAAACGTGGACGTTGGGCGCGACCGAAAAGAGAATATTGGAAGCTTTTGTGATGTGGTGTTTTAGACGTAGATAGAAATAAGGAAGTATTCGAAAGAGTAGAAGAACAGTGGATTGTATCGAAATTAGTAAGAAAAAGGGAGTAGAAAATAAGGCACTAGCTGAAACATGAAGCAGGAACAGGAGTAAAGAGAAGGAGAAGTAGACCTAGATTAGATTACTGTTCACAAATACAAAATTTATGATGTGGGATGTTAAGAAAATACAAAGATTGTATAGAAAAGACGACCCTGTAGTGATGATTAATATTCATTAGAATATAACTGCTTATTATTATCAAAAACAAAAACAAAAAAATATAAAAATAAATAAGATCAATAATTACGAATGGCAAAGGTTACATCAGATTTCGAATATACTTTTATTGAATTTGAATGGCTTCCTACAAGATACGATAAATGCGCATTTTGCATAGGTAATCGATGCGATGTTACAGTATCAATGAAAATCATTAAAAAGTCTAGTAACGTGTTCAATCTCATAAACATTCGTCGCGGTCTCGCAGAATGTAGGAAAATTAGTCACGTAGGTAACCAGAATTTTTGAAGGAAGTATGGGTTCATTATTAAATTCACAATTTGGTGCATCTATTTTTTATTAAAACTATAATTTTAACGTATTCCAGTTGGAAATAAACAATTGGATATGGGTTTAAATGTCTCTATTCGAAGATATTGTTGGTTGCATATTAATATATTATGAAAATGTCACCGAAATTAAATTGTGTGTGCACCACCGATAACGATACCGTCGTCCAAATTTGGACGGGAAGAACAGGTAAGATAAAACAATAAAAAAACTAATCTAAAAAGCTGTGAAATATACATTCATATTTCGAATCAGTATGTAAAACGCGTATTAAATGTAACGTAAACATGCGATTAAACAGTTTTATTAACATTTTATTTGCGAGAATTTTCTGTATGAACACTGTCATCTCAGAAACAAAATTAACCATCTTTTTTTTACAAAAATCCAGTATAAACTTGACATTAAATAAAATAATGATTTTATTATCAAAAAAACCGATTAAAAAAGGCATTTTATTTTAAAAATTGTTCAGAAAATGACTACTAAAAATACATTTTTCAGAGCAATTTTACAATTACGATTAGTCTCCGAAATAAAAAAACCGTTCATATTTTGTCACTTCTATTTTCAATAAATCAAAAGTAATTTTTGTATTTGGTATAGATATATATGGTATATACATAAACTCCAAAGTTGCACTTATTAAGTGCCAAACAATTCAACCAATAACCAATTAATCAGTGTCATATAAGCCATGACGTTTTAATAGCAACAGACAATATCGTTATTAGCAGAAGATACACCATAGATTGTAAACATCATATTAAGAGCAATTTATTGTTAAGTGCTTAATCAAACAATGAACAACTATTCGTACCTACATTTAGACACGTGAACAAAATTTTATCGACATTCCTTTATAATTTTTTTTTTATTATATTTTAAAAGTTTATAAATATTGTAACTGAATTTACGTAGCCTTGAAAAGGATAGCGTGTAATCAAAATAATTGCTATACTTTTACGATAACTTTCATTTTAATAATATTTAGTAAGTAACAACAAAAATCCGTCAATGTCTGATTTCAAAATTTTTAAAATTATTGCTATAGATAGATAAGTATTGTAAAATATGTAAAATGGTGTAGTGTATAATTAAAACGAAATAATTTCAAAATAATATGAATCATGATAAGAATTTAGTTTTTCATTGTTCAAACACTAATAAGCGATTCAATAAAAATTATTCGCAGCAGTTTCGTTATAAGGAAATGTAAAAATAGCGAATAACACTTTTAATAAATTAAATCAAACAATTCAAATACCTACGCATCAATCAGTACCATTTGTAACAATTTATTTTCCATAAATTTCACACAATAAAGTATAAAGTAACACTTTTTGTATGGAAGTGACTTATAATTCAACGAATTATAAACAAAATAATAATAATAAATACTGTATAATTGTGAAGTCAGAAAGTATAAAAAATACCCATAAAATAAATTTAAAATATTTATAGATATTTTTTTTGAAATACCTAAATTTCCTTAGCAAAAATATTGTGGTGTCATTTTTTCCCTATTATGTTTTTATGGAGCATTTATTTTATTTCCAATTTATAAATATTTTATAAAATAACGATAAAGATGTTAAATGTCACCTTACGTAAATATAATGAATAAATTAAAAATGTTCTGCCAAAATATGTAAGGTGCTTACATTTGAATAGGCACCTTTACAATAAATTATTACCATTGCATATTAACAGGTAACAAAAACAAGTAACGTGATAGGTAATACAATTATTTACAGGTAAAAGTCTGACCATTCACCTTCTGTTTGTATTAAAGCCCATAATTATTTAAGTTTCGACATAAATACATACACATACTTCTAGGTACCCAAGTGACTCCCATAAAGCAGCTCCCAATTACAAACTTAATTCAGAAAAACTTTTTTAAAAACTTTCGCGCAGAAACACCTTTTTTACCTAAAGTGATACTTCGTCAGATTTTTTTACTTATTGAGAAGTGATGTGCATATAAAATTGATAAAAACAATACTCATATTTGAGTAAAAAAATATTATATTTTTACCTGTTAATCACGTAGATGGGAAGAGCAGTAACTACTCTCGCACAAGCTCCACGAACTCCAGGTAAAAACAGACAGCACTTGTTTTAGCCGGAAGAAAGATTTCTGAAGTAGTTTACACTAATAAAGTCAAATAAAATTCAACGTTAATTCATAATTTTATCAAAATCAGCACAAAGATGAGCATTCCAAGCGCAACACTTCCGTCACTGACAGATTTGTTTACACTTTTAAAGTTGGCTGCTCGGCACGCTACATAACCTTTTCAATATTAATGGAGAGTTTAGCAAATAATAAAATAAAAACTGTTGTGTGCCTCCACCTATCGGTGGTATGCCAAAATGTCGTATTCAAATTAAAGATTTTGATTTAATAATTAAATAACATAACCTGACATAACCTAACTATATTCCACATCCAACTTATGATTATTTTATTTAGTTGTTGAAAACAATTAATTATTAATGAAACTTTATAGCAGGAAAGTTCGTCGATTTTTAGATTTGTGGCCAGGGAAAAGATACTTTGGCGTGTATCGTTTCTTGCCTATCTTTTTTATTTTGGGTGCTGCATTGGAATTTTCTATGATAAATTGGAAAGTAGGAGAAACTAATTTTTGTAAGTTTATGCCTATTTTTTCCTGTACATATTGTATTATAATACACCATATATTACCGGTGTTTTTCAAATTCAGATAGAACTTTTAAACGCAGCAAAGCACGAAAAATTTTAGAAGAAAAGTTGGAAACATCGAGCTAACATGCCAGCAGGAACTTCTTGGTCACGATATATGACATTTTTTGTTGTGGCTTTAACGACAATGTTTGCAGGAGCTCAATGTGTGCATGTAGTGTACAGGCCTTTAGACGACTTAGACAAATATATAGAAGAAGAGGAAATAAAGATAAAGCAGGGATAAAGAAATTGTTATTATTTATTTTTATTGTTGATTCATATTATAAATGACACCGGATACCCGACGGTGCCCGGTTATTTTACCAGAGAAAAAATAAAAAACAAACATCAGCAATAATAGTTTAATAAATATAACAAAAAATCCTACCTAATGAAAACTGGTAATTAAATTTGTACTGGGATAGATCGTTTGTTCTAATTTCTATTATTTGNAACCGAGTTTAATAAGCTTTCTAAAAAAATATTTACCGTTTTTATACTCTTATCGAGTCTAAACCTTTAGAAAATTGCTTTAAAGATCAAAACTGCAGAATGAAACACAAACTCAGTTACAGTTTTTAACAGAGATTCTGTTTATTTTTTACACATAAAAGTATCAAAAACAATTACATTATCGTATAATATTAGAAAATTATTATCGTAACCTAAATATGTACACAGCTTTTTACAGTTTTGTTAAATTAGTACGAATTATAAAGAATTTAAGAGTTCAAATTGTTCTTTATATTCATTATACAGTCTTTGCCAAGGCAGTTTAGTTTTTATGATACCTAATATTTCATTTAGAAGGGAATGCTTTGAAATACCCTAAAAATAACGTTAGTGTTTTCAAAAATGTAAATTTTCTACAAACTTGAAACTTACCAAAATGACACCTTCTTTTTTATTAGAAAACGAATGTGTTGGACCCATTAAGTCGTCTAAAATGAACCTCAGTCGACACTCTGGACCTAAAAAGAATAAATGCTACAATTAAAAAGAAACTGATTTTGTTTTTCCATTTATTTGCTTTTTTACCTTTATCTAAAAGATGATTAACAGTAGTAATCAACCAATGTTTAAATTCAGATGCCGACTGTAAAACGGTACTGGCAGCTATCTGATTTTCCAAGAAACTTAATATAATTCCCGAGGGAAGACTGTCGTTGTTTCCTTGTACAGGCATCGCCTTTTGTAGAGACGCCAAAGGTAAAATATTTGAAACTGATCTACTCATTGATCCTCCAGCTTTCGATATTGCATCTACAGGATTTGACAGTAATACCCTTTGAAAATAAAAGATTTTTATTCAAGAAACTGGCAACAAGGTTTGAAGAAACGATTTCAAAAATTTGAATAGATAAACGCAATTGAAATTTTACTTTCTAAGTATTGTTACATACTAAAGGCATTAATGATTAGAAAGTTTATTTTTGTGTTTTTTATCACTTATTAAGCCTCATTAATTATGAATCTTACAGAAGATAAAAATAAAATGAAAAAGCAGTTTTAAGTATACATCGCAGTTAGAAGCTTTTCGGTCCAAAAAAATACATTACGATATACAAAAAAGTATTTATGATTAGAACGCTTAGTTCCGATTCGTTTTTCATCACTTACCAAGTTTGAAGATCACAACTATATGAGAATGCCTTGCCATCACTCAAAGTAACCAGAGGTTGTCCTGATGATGTTATTCGGCATCCATTTACTGTAACTATAAAATATGAATATATATTAGGAACTTTGTTTAGATACAACTTTTTGATACATTCATATGTCAAATTTAAAATAATGATTACTAAAATTTAAGTACATACCATTATTGCTTATTAAACTCCTTACGGAAACCCGATTTACTAGTGCCTTAGCTTTCTGCAAGTCCCACATATACAATAAACCAGTGCGGGTAAGCACAAGACAATTCGAGTTTTCTGTAAGACTCAATGACACAACTAAATCTTCAATGTGTAAAGAAGGTAACGTTCTAGCACCAGATTTTATATTAAAGCAATTCATACTCAAGTCTTCACAACAGGCTATAACAACATGCAAATTTGATGCTAAACACCTTATAGAAGACCCTGCAACATTAAACATGAACTTAGAAAGCTTAATACAAGCTAAATTAAATTAATAAACACCTAGATAAGTCTCCCAGACTGGATGGATTTCTTCGGGTAGTTTAAACACTTCAATTTTAGAAAATTTATTTTTTGAAACAACCTGACAGGAATTTGTTACCTGAAAATGGTATACAATTATTTGTTTTTTCAAATTCAAGAAGGGTCAAACTGTCCCCAATATTAATGAGTAAGTAATTAGTATAAAGATACTTCACGAAAGTAAAAAATATGATCTGTATTCTACCTGTACTTTATATGTCATAGTCTTTTTAGCTACTGAAGCATCAGAAGGCATTTTCTGAGGGGGCAACATATCTATAAAATGCACAACAGCCTTATCTCCCGGAACATCAGTACACATTAACTGCGTAACCTGCACCCCAGGAGGATGAACTATTGGGGCATCACCGGTATTACGCACACGTAAGCTACAATAAAAGTTCAGATTGCATCGTTAATTTTCTTGTGTGATTATACTGGGAAATATAGATACTTTTAACAGTTTCAATTTTCAAAAGGTAAAAAGTAAATACGAAATTTATAAAAATTTCCAAATAATTATTATTAATAGTATATAACTGGTACTGCCCATAGTCAAAAATTAAATCAATTGTGTGACATTTTATATTGTCTCAGTAAATAAAAGGTGCTCGCGTTGTAGGAGAACTTTGCCGATGTTTTTTTATCTTTCTCAAAGTGTACAAGATATTTTGTTGTAAATGGCATGTACCTTTCATTTAATATTACTCAGGACCATATATACCCCTTACTCGCGAAATATTCGTCTGCAACCATTTCGCAAAATTACATGTATTCTTATGGTGCAAGTTTAAATCGTGAGCCGTGTGACCAGTCGACCCGCACCCTTTCGTAATGAGCGTAGAATACCGAAACCTTTAATTCGATATATGGTTTGTTGATACTTACGGTTCGGATAATGCTTGGCTAGGGACAGTTACGTCCTTTATTACTTCTTTTCTTGTTTCGATAACAATTTTGCTTTTAGATGGTGAAGACTTACTTAAGGATGTTGTTGTTTCTTCATTCAAAAAGGGTAATTGTAAGCTATCTCTGTAAAATAATTTATCTATAATCGATTAGATAACAAGAACGGCGCAATTTTTTACCGTTTTTATTTATTTAGTATTTTGAATCTCAAAATAGTGTTTTTTTTATTTCTCATTATTTTTTTTATTCATATTAATCTCCTAAAAAGGAAACTTACTTTGTTGGTGTTAATGCTGGTGTTAATAGCATAGGAGTGATTCTTCGTTTTCCGGAAGGAAGAACCGTTTCTATTTGCTTATTAGTCGGTACAAGGACATTAGGAGATAAGGAAACATCCGATTTAATCACTTCTGGAATAACTAAAGATTTTGGTGCCGTTGTAACTTCCTTTTTGTCCTCCTGACTTTGTATCTGAGCCATGCTGTCAAGCGTTTGCAACATTTCTGGATTTTCGATAATCTGGCTTCCAGTAAAACACTGATTCCAATTTTTTTGAAGGGTCTTTCCATAGATTTTTTCATAAAGAATATTCTAAGGAACAGCATAAATAGTAATTTAAGTGGTCAACGTTTATTTAAAATAAAATTGTTCCTATGGAAAGTTAAAGTATCAAGAGTTATGAAAAAAAAAAAAACAATTTAAAACAAATCAATTTAAATTTAAAATGAATGGAAATTAATAAACAATGTGACTTCTAAACGAATGGTTTATAATGATTTTTATAAAAAATAAGTACGATGAAAGGTAACCTAATACATTAATTGCAGTCAAT